ATGCAAAACAATACGTGCCGTATGTCACTGAATAAAAATTGATCAAGATGCAAACTTTTAATATACAACATAGACTGTAGGGAGTAATCCGATCGGTATTGACTGAACTTGACGCACCTATTTATCAAATATGATGTAAGGCACCCCCAATAGAAAAGTACGGTTGGGTTAGGTGTGGGTCAAAGTCGGCTTGCCAGTCATGAGCTCTGGGACAAAGTTGAATTACAACTCTGGACCAGATTTGGTTGAACTACCAAATAATAAGATCGGAACAGGCCTGGCACACAACCTTGGACCAATGACGAATCCCAAAGATGTGCCAGAGTTGGCCCAGTGACAACTAACCTTCTGCCAAAGTTAATACAATTTGTAAATAAACTATATATAAACAATTATTTTAAATAACCAAGACTTATTTAAAGTTGGAATTAAAATAATAATTGTTTATTATGAATTATATAAGGACGAATACAACTAATTCCATAAATATTTATAATAATTCATCTTTATTTCTTTGCTGACCGCTTAGATCGTCCGCCATCACAACCTGAAGCTCCAGAGAGATTAGCAGATAGATTGTTATTAATTGTTATCTTTGAGAGCATCGACTTTAAATTGTTGCTTTCGATTTCATTAATGGCTAATGCTTTTAGGAAGACTACTTCTTTATTAAATTGGGGGTTCTTTAATATTCAATCACTCTGTGAATAGAAGAATCAAAAGCACTATGTTTAATGATAAAAGCTTTTGTTTAAAGAAACCACGGGGTGAAATACTTGTAAAGGTAGATTTTCTAAAAATGTNAAAAATAAAATATTGGTTACAATATTTATTTAATCATTTTATTTGAATTTAACTATAGAAAATAAGCGGTCAAGATTAATCAACCGAAGGTAGTATAGCCAACTTTGGTCCAGGTCTGTGACAGAGAAAACTACCCATTCTTAGTAGATCAGCTGTATACCTGACTTGGCCCAACCTTGGATGAACTCCGCTCAGCCGAAGCTGGGAAACCCAATGTTGAGCTACGGTTCACCCGACCGTCAACTCTGACAGTTCAACTACTGGTTTTAAGAGTACCTGTTAGTGTAATTCTGGACAGTAAACTATCTCAAAATGTTCGTTGTAATGTGAGGCAGTACGAAAAAAAATACGCAATTACTCGTGGTTTCAAGGGTACCTGTGGGTGTAATTCTGAACAGTAAAATATCTCAAAATGTTTATCTAAAAATCTAAACTACCTGAGTAAAAAGTTCACTACTTGCCTTTGATAGTCCAAAAATTTCATAAGTAAGGACTGATGAGGAGTCAAACTCAAATAAAGTTCGTATACCAATAGTCGCTTTTTCTCACACGGACGGTTTATGAAGGAGACGAAGAGGTGACTTGTGTCACCTTTTTCCAACTTTAGAAAGCTCTTATGCCTCCTCCATCAAACGTCCCGTGCGAGTGGAAATGAGTATTCGTATCTGAATCTTGTTCTAGTAAACAGAACAGGAGAATAGTTACTAAAAGGTGGATCTTAGAGGTAATTCAAAAACCGCGACTCATGTTCACACCGTTAGTGTAGTGGGATAGAGTTTCTCCCACTAGTACTAAAGTTAGAAAAACTGAGCTTTTTAGACATGGTGGTCCCAGGCTATAAGTTTCTCAACAAGGCCTAAGCAATTATATCAAGGGACCACAAGGCCCAACCCAAGCTTCCAATAATACTAAAGGCTCTCGTAAATGAGCTTTATTATATTTAGTATTAGATTAAAGAGCACAGTGTACACCATCACAATGATTATAACGTAATTGAAATCCGAAAGATTTAATGTCTTTAAGGTTATGTTGGTGTGTCCTCAAAAAATATCAAAAATAGAAAAACTTCCCTTAACTTGGATCGGATCTTAAATTAGACCACGGTATTTTTTACCATAACTAATACAATTTGTATTAGTTCCAAAACGATACCTGTCATCATTACTATATAACTTAAATATACTGTACACTGAACTTGATAATAAAAACTATTATATTATCTTTTGAAGATTATAGTTGCCATTAAAAGATAAATTTTTAAAAGTCAAATAAACTCCCAACTATTATTTTTATTTATGGGAACACAGGGAGTAGGTAAAGTGTTGATAGGTATCGAACCGTAAAGATTACTTTGTAAGATTTATTCGCGAGAAACAATGTTTCGCTTTTGAGTATATTACATTTTAAGTTGACTACAAACATCAATTTTAAAGGAAAACTTACTAAATGGAAGATAAAGTGTCTAATTAAAGGGCTTGATTTATCTTTATTCAGAATTTTACGTTAACTTGTTGAAATAACAACTTAATTATTGGTATGTTTTCATTAATTCTGAACTGGATGATGCTTTTCGTCAACAAAAACAATAATTAGTTCTAGCCAGTGTTTTTAGAGCAATTAATTATTCCTATACGAGGGTGGATTGATAAGTTTCCGGCCTGACCAAGAAAAACAAGGTTTTTAAAATTTTTTTTTTTATTTCTCAACATAATCTCCTCCAAGGCTGATACATTTCTCATAGCGGTGTTCCAGTCTATTAATGCCATCTCTATAGACTGATTCGTCAAGCTCCTCAAAATAACCATTTACAGCTTCGATTACTTCTTCATTGTCCGCAAATCTCTTACCGCCAAGCCATTTTTTGAGATTAGGGAACAGAAAATAGTCACTCGGGGCTAGGTCTGGAGAGTAAGGAGGGTGCGGCATCAATTCAAACTTTAGATCGTTGATTTTAGCCGTCGCAACGATTGACGTGTGCGCTGGTGCGTTATCGTGATGAAACAAGATTTTTTTCTTCGCCAGATGAGGTCGTTTAATTTTCACCTCGTGGCTCAAACGTTGCAATAAGTCTGCGTAGTATTGACCAGTGATAGTATTACCCTTTGCAAGGTAATCAATGTATATAATACCTCTTGCATCCCAAAAAACAGTAGCCATAACCTTGTTCGCCGAAAAAATTGTTTTTGCCTTCTTTGGAGTTGGTTCCCCTGGTCCAATCCACTGTTTAGACTGTTCTTTGGTTTCAGGAGTGTAGTGGTGGACCCACGTTTCGTCAACGGTTACGAATCGACGCAAAAATTCGCTTGGATTACGCTTATACAATGACAAATTTGCGGTAGAAATGTTTTTTCGAATCAATTTTTGGTCGACTGTTAGCAAACGCGGCACCCATCTTGCACAGAGCTTTTCCATATGCAAATGTTGGTGCAAAATATGTTGCACACGTTCATATGACATCTTACAGGTCTCAGCTATCTCACGCAGTTTCAATCTGCGGTCTCCCAGCACTATTTGATGAATTTTTTCGATCATATCTGGAGTTGTGACCTCAACGGGGCGTCCTGAGCGAGGCCCATCAGAGGTGCTCACACGACCCTTTTTAAACTCGGAAACCCACTGCTTAACGGTTGAATATGACGGGGAGGATGTCCCCAGTGTTGAGTCCATCTCTTTTTTAATTTCCTTCGGCGTTAACCCCTTCAAATAAAAGTATTTGATGACAGCACGATTTTCCTGCTTTTCCATTTTTACGAAAACCACAGAGGCGTCTTGTTCAGCGTGCTGTCAAACCTACACTAGCAAGGAGATCGGGCTGAAACTATAGCTACAAGCTATCCAAGGATGGTACTATAGAATGTCACCTCAAGGTAGGCCTAGTGGCGTCATCTCTTGGTTAGGCCGGAAACTTATCAATCCACCCTCGTATTTGTAACGAGGACTTTGCATAATAAAAGATACTCGATTCTAAGCTCTCAGCGAAGTCGTCTCAACAGCAACTAAGTTACTAAATCTGATAATTTGAAGGGTCTATTTTACAAAAGCGACCTGCAACTTCATTAGTGTTCCGAATTATTCCAAAGAAAAATAACGAACACAACTCCAACAACTTTATAAGATAGTTTATTATTTTGTAAAAAAGTGAGTTATTTAAAAGGATTGATGCAAAAATGCAACTGAAAAGGAAACAATCGGTAACTTTAAATAATTATGGTGTTTTATAAATCGTGCAAAAAAGTTACAGAATCTTAGGAAGAGGTCACTAAATTGATATTTTTGAAGAAAATAGGCACGTGGACAGATTTCGCTCTTATAACCTTAAACGAATAAGTTAAGGTTGTTTTAATACGTTGTAGAAGTAAATTAATGGTTGTTTTATCATTTTTTGGTTCATAATTTCTAACTAAATGTGGTACATATAAAGTATGGCGTAGTGATCAAACTATTCACACCAAAACTTAAAAAAGCATTGTTTTAAAAATGCGATTGTATACATTATATACATGTGTACGTCTATTTCTCTACACAATATATCTAATAAAAAGTCAATTATACCTTATTACCAAATGCAATATGGAACAATCAAAGGCTAACCGCCTACGCGTACTATCCTAGAAAACTAGATATCGGAGCACAAACTTAAAGTCAAGCGAAAGAATTTAAAAAACATAATTACTGATAAAGGTTAGAGAACGCGTTCGTAGTCTGCGCGATAAGTGAACGAATTACAATTTCGGATAAGTTCAATTGTCAATCTCAAAACAAAATTCTTTGTCTACGTCGCAAACCGGATGCGCACTGTCTTACTGCGCAGCGTACGAGCGAGAGCAACTTGGTGATGCTATATGGTACAATACTTTCTACTCTTATCTTTAGTTTTCCTGAAACTCATGAGAACCTTCACCATACTGTGAAGATACAAGCGATTCGTCCAGTTCTGTAGGTCTATGGAAATAACTACTGAAATGCTTCCAACTATTTATTAATGAATAAAGTTTTGATATTGTACCACTTTTTACGATTTTATTTCAAATGAAAAAAACAGTATCTATGTTCTTATTTTTTGGAAACCAATAAAACACAACTAACAATACCTATTTAAAGATATTCATTATTACATTTTTATTTAATTTTTCACCAGTAAAAAGTGTGTTTTTATACATATGTAAATATTAACCTACGATTCTGCTTTTGCATAGATTCTTCGAGAATTTCCTGAGGAACTTCGAGGTGACGTTTCTATGCATCTTCACAGGGAAATACTGCAACTTCCGATATTCGAAGGCGCCTCTCAAGGCTGTCTGAAACTCCTGTCCTTACATATTAAAGCCAACTTTTGCGCACCCGGAGAATACTTGATTCATAGAGGAGACGCACTGACATACATCTACTATATATGTAACGGCTCAATGGAAGTGATACAAAACAATATGGTTGTTGCTATTTTGGGTAAATTCAATTCATCTTTTACATATGTAATCATACTTATATTATAATAATTTCAAAAAAATATATACATCGTCTTACAAATTTATAAGAATTCGTAAAATTGGAAATTCCAATGCTGTCAGGACAGGCAATGTACAGTAACAAGTATCAGTTAATGGAAATTTAAAATTAATTAATATATTTTCTTAACATCTCGTATACAATTTTTAATCTGACGATATCAATCTTCGTAACACCGAAAGGAAAATTTCCTCCTAGCAAGGTTTAACAGTAAAATAATAAAAACAAAAAGTCGTTAATTTAATTGGCTCATACGTTTACTAGCAATTTGTAGAAAATAAATAACTTATTATATTTATTAATTTAATGCAAAAATTTGTTATTGTTAAAAATCTGCAATTGACTTGAGCCCCATTTATTATGGAACATAACCATAGTCATTAAACGTATTTTCTATTTTGAGAAAACTAAACTAAACGTACAATGGCTTATCCTCCTCTGTAATCGAGTCAAACTGAGTTATCTCATCACAGTGCTCTTATAAATGGGTGCCCAAATCCTGATTGGATAATACAATTTGACTCGACTCCAGCAGAAACAGACATTGTTGAATAAAAATCTAATTATGGTAATGATTCAGTTATTGTCATAATTTTAGGATTCTACGGAATACTAATTATGTTACTGAGGTTACATATTCATTTTCAAAATGTCAATATCATGTTATTTAATGTTGCATAATATAACTTATGTGATGTTAGTCTATATAAATATTGTTTGCTACCTTTCGAATGAAATTACCAGGCTTTTCCGTTGAAAAATATTAAAAACAGGCATTTTATTAGATTAGCACCTTAAATAGCATATTCATTTCGAAACATTTTCGTAACTAATAGAATGAGAACAAAATAAATACACTTGATTAAGCCATAAAGGGATTGGCAATCATTTTAAACGAAGGCCATTATTAAAAGTAAACTGTACTAAAGAACCCTCAATTCTTGCTCAGTTTATCGAAACTACTAGATGCGAATCGCTATTTTGAACTTATTAGTTCTCATTAGCACGCCATTCGCAGAGATTCGATAATTCATTGACCAAACTAAAGTATATGTAACAAGCACTTAAGATTTTGAACTCGGTCAAAAACCTTTATAAAAAGTAAGCCCTTTTTGACATTAAACAATGAATTCCGTATTTTATTTTATCCATTCATGTTGTATTATTGTTTTATTTACTTTGGTCGAATTTCTGAACAGATTTAATCGTTAATTAAAAAGTTACGCAATTTTTGCATATTTGTGTATACTACAAGTTGGGTAGCCTTTTAATACTTTAATATTTCCTTTAAGCCTTTTATATACGCAGAATTCTAAAAATATACGAATTCAGTCTGCTTACGTAACATTATTTGTAGAGGTTTTGTGTCTTTAATTAGAATTAGCGAACTAATTGTCCAATTAGAGCCCACTTCGTTCTTTGTTAGAAGCATCAAATTTATACATAAGCTATATCTAAGAATTTGCTAATAATTTTATCAATTAAAATTTTTTTTTTTTGAAAAACTTAAAGGGCAGAATTTTATAAAAAAATGAACTGAATTCATTTCCGAAAACATTTTCAGAACGCCGCCTATAGGGTTTACAGTCCCGGGATTGTCCAGGGGTTTAACGAAAAAGTAGTCTCTAAACTTTATAAATCATGAGCACACCATCGTCGAACGAGCAACCCGTCCGCGCGACGAATCGCTTACGCTATAGTGAAATAGGTATAAATGAATTGGACGATTCACTGGCTCTCAATTTTCATTAATTCTGGCAATATCGACAATAATTGCAATCCCTGTTAGGCCATGGCCCGCGTCACTGTGACATTTCGATTAAATTTTATTCCTTCCCCTTGTAGTAAATAATCAAAGCCAAAAAAGGGGTGAAAACAACAACCAATAACTACAACCAACGTTTTGCATCTATACTTGGAAGAATATGATAAAGTACATGTTATAAGTAGTTGAACACATACAGATAAAATAATAAAAGAATAAATAGTTAAAATCAATTAGATCACAGTGTAGATATAAATAATACAAAAATATTATAAACAATTAAAACTGTTAAAAACCACGTGGTAACATTCAAGACAGCATAGACAAGTTAATTTTTGATTAATCAAACGTGGTTTTTAACAGTTTTAATTATTTGTGATATTTATTCTTTTATTTATACCTTGTGATGATCTAATTCATTTTAACTATTTATTCTTTTGTTATTTTACCTGCATGTGTTTAACTAATACTTGGTTGTATAAATGTACCATACTACGGCCTGCAAGTTTGGAATGAACGTCTTATATCTGTAAAAAACTGAATTTGAGAAAGCCTCCAATCATAGAGACAAAACGATGACTGCGGTTTTTACATGGAAATAGTTGTTTTCTAATTTTTCGACTGTGACATTTTGCCTTGTATAAAACAGTGTCATATACCTACTTGGTTTCCATAAAACTTTTGGATAAAAATGAGGATACGCTATAAGAAATTGGGAATACGAGAGGTATGACGTATTTTTTCTTCCTTGAATCATTTGCACGTTCCTGCATTAATTGGTCAAAAGTCAGGACCACTCGTCAAAGATTAAGTGAAACGTTATGCAATATTATCATGGTAGAACGGTACAAATACGATTAAAGATTACTACCGTTTCGATGACGATTATCACTTCCACGAATGTTTATTAGATTCACCAATGTCAAATTCCGATAATAACAAACTGCATACTAAATTGTTACGTTTTCGAAAACCGAACGCGTGGCTAACGCATCGAATTATGAGGATACGGAATGATCGTCAGGCTGCTCAGGTGTTTGTTGAACAGCCAACTCGAACCGTACAATTCGAATGCTTGATTTCTGGAGACGTTTCTTTCATGGCATTATGGCAGATATGAGATATGCCATTACGCGTTACCGGCCACAGCTGCAACACACATTACACGAAGGAGACTACGCGCGAAGGGACGTCTTTTTTGAATGGTACCTTATCATAAACGAAGCTGATCCGAAATTCGTTTAAAGCCGTTTTAATTTTAACATTGAACGTCCCCGTCAGTTGATGGAATTGATTGTTGGACTAACGAAAATTCGCACTTAATTTTAGAGAAGAAATTAAGCTGCTGAGACTGATGATGCGAGCAGGTGTCAATGCACGGAGTGTACAATCTTTGATGCTTCAGTGAATAGGCAGACATATCTAATAATTACGAGTCACTTTGGAAATGGATGATAGATTTTTCAGCAGGATGGAGCGCCCACACATTTCTTCAGATTTTAATGCAAGATTTTCTGAATGATCATTTTACGAGCTGGATAGGACGCGGCGGCGTGTTCATTTTAATTTTGGTACCTGGGATTTATCAAAGGTCGTGTGCTCGGTTTAAAGTTGCCTCCACTTGACGAATCAAAAGCTGCAATTGTCGCCGAATTTGACATCATTAATGCATGACAACGATATTTGGCTTGTACCATAACCGAAGGACATCAAATTTTAATACCTTTAGTAATATTTTTCTTGTTTGAGCTCACAATTCATTATAGTCTATTAAAAAAAAACTTTTGGGTGTTTAATTCTCACCAGCCAGTAATGCTAGTGAGCGGGCAGTCCCTTCCAACTACGCCGACAGGACGGAAGGCCCTCTTCAGCCTCCTTTCAGGAATCGTGAGAATGGGTGGGTGGTGGTTCGAGTGAGAAAGATGAGACGGATGAAATTAAGACATAAGAATGAAAAATTATCTCTGCAATATTACTGCCTAAGTGATCCAAGGAAACCACAGAAAATCTTGGATCAAGGTAGACGGACCCGGAATCAAAACCAGCGTCCTCCCGAATGCTAAGCAATGGTCTAAACCTTTAGGCCATGACGCTCGGTAAAGTCTATTCCTTGTTCATATTTTTACTTTATTGGCGGTGCCCTGACTTTTGCTCACCCCTGTATATTGTAAATATTTTCAACGAAAATAGGTTACAAAAGTTATTTTCGATTTCATTTGGACTAGTATCGGTCCCCGAATACCTTTATGATCACGGGATTCGTAAACCCTAGCTGTGTCGTAGTCAAAGGAGTTCCGAGTAATGGTTGGCCTACCTTAGGTAGCTACGACGAACGGACTACATTGTAAGATTATTTATTTATTTGTTTAATTAGAGTGGCAACGTTAACTTAATATATTGAACCAATTATATATTTATTTTTAAATAACAATAATAATTTCCTTTTTTGTTTTCACCTTATACACTTTTTAAAAATCAAATTATAGTTAGTTATGATCACCCTCATTTAAATTTTAAAATATATATCAGGATTTGTCTAAAGATAATGGTCAAACTTGAGGTAAATCAGTAATTCCACAGAGCGCCTACGTTTGAGTCTAACTGTAAAATATATACATAGTTCTGTGCAATTATTTGCGCCTGAAAGGTTATTTTTTTATTTTTTTCCAGCGATAGTTTTCATTCGTGTGAAGTATGCTATTAATTTAAAATGCAATTTCCATTTTCAACGGGAATGTTCAAATACAGATTAATCCCTGCAATGTTTCGAATATTATGAAAATTTAACCTTTATTTGTTAATGAACAGATTTACATTAATGAATATTCCAATCATATTTGCAATGCAAAGCAATAACTTGTTCAATCGTTACAAATTATATGAACCTAATTTGAACTCAGTAAATTAGACAGGATCGTTACGGTTACCTATTAATAGTCAGGAATCTGCAGGTACTACAATTACAGTATAAGTAGGTAAACTAAACAACTGATGGTAAATTGTTGAAAAACATTCAGCTCCAGAAAAGTTCGTTAATTTTAAGTTTATGTGATTATTTATTCAAATAAATCTTGTGATATAGATAAACCTTGGAATCACAATTTTGAGCAAAACAAGGCGTACGTAATTTTTCTTGAAAATTCCAACGATTCGACGCAACGTGACAAGAATGCTACGATAATAGAGTACAAAGTGTTTCCGTGCAATTGTCTTTTTCTACAGTTAGACGTTAGAACGCCAAGGATTCACTTCATTAGCTGTTAAATTATTATTAAAATTAATTAAAATTTACAATATTAAGAATGATCCTTCAAATTCCTAGGTATTATGCATTTCTTATACAACTGTATAGGGTTGTTATTTTCCGATGCGCTTTGTAGAATTTTGTAGACGAAGTGAAACCCATTGCTTACTATATCTTCTTTGTTCTTGATTCATAAGGAAATCAAAAACACCTTATGAGAAGTTTTTAAGGTTTTCGGAACTTAAACGATTTTTTTCTAATTTTGAAACTGTTACTATTAGGAATAAATAAAAACAAATTTGACTGGTTTTGGACTCATTTTCATTACCTACTATCGCTCTTAATATGAAGTTTGGAAAAACTTTGGCGGTTGTTGTAGAACAAACAGAATAGCTCAAAACCCCAAACCGCCAAAACATGACATTGTAGTTGTCCGAAGCACTTTTCGGTAACAAAGTTACCTTCTTCAGGGACTGAAGTGAACTAAACCTATATGAGAACTGATCCTAATTTATACTGATAGTTGTTAAGGTTCAGTGAACAAGGCCCAATACCAACAACGTTGATGTTCAACGGACCCTAACAATCATAAAAGTAATTAAACTAGAACTTTGTTACCGAAAAGTGCTTCGCACAACTACAGTGTCGTATTTTGGCGTTGGGGTTTTGAGCTATTCTGTTTGTTCTACTGTCGCTCTTATTTGTTTAAAGTTTTCGATAAAAAATTCTAAAATCAAGTACGAATATATACTTAACTGCTTCAACACGAAACATCCATAAATCTTTTCGAAAAGTAACCGTCCTATTTTTTATAAGAAAGGAAATATTCATTTTAACATAAAGCTGCCGAAAATGTCTTGGAATACATATTTTTCTTGCGGATTATTCTGAATCCATTCGTTCCGCTCAAAATAACGAAGTAATTTTCCAATTGATTTCAATCAAAAACCGATTTGAGAATTTAATGGTGTTCATTTAGGAAAAGGTGACCTGGTGGGCAGCGATATCAGTCTACACCTTCAGCACTTCGCTAGTAATCCAAGCGGGGGTGGCCCTACCAATTCCATAGACATGATCGTGAAATCAAGTAGCGACGTGAGAGCGCTAACCTACTGCGATTTGAAATGCATTAATATGCAGGGGCTTATCGAGGTGCTCAGATTATATCCGGAATATCAGCAGGAATTCGCTAATGATATTCAGCACGACCTTACATTCAACGTACGCGAAGGATATGAGGCAGAGGTGCGTAATTTAATTTTAAGCTGTGATGCCGGGATGTGAAAAACTCACCTCCATGCATAACGAAGTATGTTTAGGATCAAATAACAAATTTTATTCAACACATGCGTGATTACAGTGCTACAATTACTGTGCCATGGCAAACACAAGCGTATGAAGATTTAAACGATTTTCTGGCTTACGCAATCGTTATTAAATTAAAATTCTGAATCGCATCAAAACCTGGAGTTGGCGTTTTATTAAAATATAAAAATATGTGAGATTGCAATACTACCAACAAATTAGCATATTTTCGAAACAATTTATAAAAAACAATTATGTGGTTTTATGAAATCACGATGCAAGTAAAACTTTTTTTGCAGGCATTTAACTGTAAATTTTCGGAAAATTACTCGATTTAGGGTATTAAAATTAAAATCGCATTCTTAATATTATCTTAATGATTGGTAAATGGGAATGATAATGGGAAATCAATAGTAGACAAGATATCCAACTATGAATTTTAATTTCAATCTGCGTATGAGAATACGGAATACATAATAAATAGAATCATTCAGATGATAGACGCATGTTAAAAACTGAGAACAATATTTATTTAAATCATTGAATCATTTTGAACTTAAGTTATTCTATCAATAATTTCATCTTCGCTTTGCGTTTTACAATCTATAAATGTAATTGTCATGCACTTGCACGAATGAGTGAGAATATAAATGCTACACGGTTGCCTCATGCGAGCCATGGGCGCCGCCATATTGGCCTTGGCTGCTCTGCCGAGCGCTTTTCAGCTGTAATACGACATGCGATAGATGGACGAAAAAATTTGAGGCGATTTAATAAAAGTTTCACTTTAAAAATGAAGCAGACTCGAATCGTGTTCGAGTTGGACGATATCTCCGATTTCTATACTTCAGGGGTAACGAACCAACCACACTACCCGTGTACATCCATCGCTTACACGTATAAATTTTATAGATAACGAGGTCATTAGAGTAACTAATGGTATGTCTCGGGTGGTGGGGAGTTTATGAAACTAGAGCAAATTTGAGGGTACGTGCAGACTATCCAGGGAAGTCGACACCTCCAAAATTCTACTTTTTCGATTTCAAAAGTATTCGCTTTATCAGTTTAAAAAAAAAAGGTGTTGGTCGTTACGGGACGTCCGGTAGATGTGGAACAATAAAGTTAATTGTAGAATCTTTAATAAAAACCAATAAAGAAATATTAAGCACTTAACAGTGGTGTTTGGATCACAGGAATTCAGTAGATTTTAGAGTGTCGTCCGGCATACGAGTACATGTCAGTTTTACTGCCAATCGCGTCAGTAGATGTTTCACATCAAAATTTGATTTGACTTCGCCAATATTCTTCTTCGACAGTTCCATTCTTCTCTCGATCTGTTCTGTTCTGGACCTGTGGAGGACTTTTTGAGTTCCCGTTGTTGCACCATCATTTATGTTTTCTTTTCATATTTGTCAACATTCTTGTTTTTGTGATTGTCCGATTTTTCAATTGTGTAATTTTGTAGTCTACTGATGTTCATGTCCGTTTCATTCATCATCTCCCATCACCCCCAGACAATGTGTCAGTTACCACAGCAGCATTGCTATTTATAAAAAAATATTACACCTATAAACTTTTTGTCTTTTTGTGTGCATCAATTAATTATTGTCCATTCACTATTCATAATTTATTCCATTATAAATTCATTCAGTTTGATGTCGTAGATTCAGTTTGGTTTTCTTTCTTGTTTTCGTGGAAGAGGGAAAATCTTCAAATGACGCCCAGCCGATTTACAGAGATCTTTAAACATCCTATTTGTTCTTGAACATTATTAATTTTTATACACGTAGCTATCCAAAAATCACTAACTCTTTTCCTCATTGACTTAAAAACAGTTAAAGACTTTCTGCCTAGTTTTGATTCTTTAACCACTTCACTGGTTGCTATCGGTTAACTATTGTGGTAAACAAACAAATTTATCGCTAGAACTGTTACCAGCAATCCAATCGGGTAGCAATTAGATGCAGCAGCAATTTTATTGGACGAGTTTCGAATGGAATGATAAGAAATAAAAATATTTACATCATCTAATATTAAAAGCATCCTGTATATGCCCATAAATATGACTCATTAGAAAAATACAATAATTAAGAGAAGGTATTTTTATTTTGACTGAATGGGAGTTTAAGTGCGCCCTTACCAATTAAAAACCCTCTACCTCAGGCCATTTTAGGCCCGATCAGTTCAAGTCGTCTTCAGCAGCCAATTCAATTTAGCAAACAGATGCCTTTGTGAGGTCTTTATGAAGTAGAGGAAAAATCGATCAGAATATTTTATCTCGGACTTCAATAAGTTGTTGATCACAAACTTAATAATCTTTATACTTATTGTAATTATTGGACTGGTGACCCATCATATCACGAGTCGTGGTAGGAAAACTATATCAGAAAAATGTATTTTTCTCAAAACGATATTGTTCTTGGAAAACAGCTCTAATCACGCATTTGTTGAATAAAGTATGTGCCATGTTTGTTAAGTGTTTAGAAAACTCACTAGTTTATAACAGTTACGAGTTACGAGTTGTTTCATATGAGACTTACTTTTCAGTTAGAATTTATTCGATTATTGTTCAGTTAGTATTAATTAGTTTTAATCAGTTATTAATAATTCGCTCTATGGGAACGAGACGACAAGCTTAAAGGTTCCTAAAACCCGATTACCTAAAACCATTTGTTTCTTATTGTCTTTAGTATTTGTTACTAATTTTTCGAAAATATTTTTACTTCAATTACGATTATGTTTTTAAAAAACTTTTTTCACATCTGATTATATGTATAGCATGTCACTAGAAATTTTACTAGTTCGGAGTAGTCGGGTAAAAAATTTAACATTACATTTCCATCAATACCGATTTCCACTTATATATTGTCGTTCTATTGTTTTCGCTACCACACAAAAGCATTGAGGGAAATCTCGCAATGTCGTCTATTTACGTGTTTTATATAGTTCAGAGGACTCTGCATTGTCTAAAACACGTAATTGAACGCTCAATTCCGGCATTATTAGATAGTTCCTCTGCTTTTAATTATTATCGATCACGAGTTATTACCGGCAATGAGACAAAAGGGGCACTGGACATAATAAAGCAATCAGTAAGTATCTCCCTAATACAGTCCATTTAGGTATATATGGAACAAATAAATACTAAACATGAGAGAAATCAATTATAAAGTAGTAAGTCACAATCGATGAATAAAAAAAAATAAAATTTAAAACATTACACATGTATATTAGTTAATCAATAGCTCAATTTTAATTTTGGTAATAAATTATTCCCTACTTAATTAATGCGAAATAGAACTACATACATGTACAAAAAACAAATTTTATTGCTTTTAATTTCAATTGTGAATTATTAACAGCAAGAATCTGAACTGAACGGAGTTCCATCATTAATTCTTCCATCAATTAGTGAAGACGATGAAAACATGCACGAAGACGAAACGTCACTTTTATCGCCAAAGGCATCTCCTGTCCATACCTACAATACAAGTCCTAGACATGCCAAATTTAATTTTAGGTAAGTATTTTGTGCCAGGGAGATTATAAAAGAAATAGTAATAATGAATTTAATGGCAGTACGAAGTTTGTTCCTTTGCAGAAGCCAGGACAGTTACGAAAGTTCATTAAAAAGTCGTAGAACCGGTAGTACGTTTAATAATAATCTCGCTTTACTTCGAGAAAGAGTCGAGAGACAGAGGAGCGTAGTTTTCAATTGTAACAGGATTTCCAGGACCGGATCCTTAGAGGAACTGGATGCTAATGTTCGTCATGATGTCGAAAATACTCGAAACAGTGTAGAGAGATTAGATAGTCAGGTGTCTTCCCTCCATCAAGATGTAGCAGCATTAAGTATAGAGGTAAGTGAACTATTAAAAACCATCCATTAAAACTTACTGAAATTTGATTTATATTCTGTGTACAATATGAAACTCCTAAAACTTTGATACTCTGATTTCGTAAAGTGAGTATAACATTCGAGGTTAACAGTTACAGAAGTATTTTTCTGTATGCAAGTGTTCTTTTCTTTTCTCATTTATTACAAAAAAAAACTAAATAGTGTTTTAACCTTTTGTGAAATTCAAATGCATTACAATCAAGAATCCAAAAAATGTTATGTTAATTAAATCACAACATAATTTACTATTTGGGAAAATATTTATTAGTGTGCATATCTGAAAAGGGTTCGATATTCCAACTTGATGGTCGTGGTCTAGAATTGGTTCTCCTTTTTCTGTGAATCAATGGAGGACGTTGTCGTTTATCTGACGTTTTCCGGTTGCTGTGGTTGACTAAAAATGCACTGCTAAGTCACAGCATTGAATTTAACCCTCTCACCACGTTCTCTGAGGATGTCAAAAAAGAGCAGCCGGAAAAATATTGGATAAGTCCACTGATTCATTCACCGAAAGGGAAAGCCAATCCTGGATTAGTTTTAGATAGATTTATCCTTTTCATGAGTGACCAATTTCACACAATTTACAAATAATTCCCAAACAATTTTTTTTTCTACTCAACTAAATATTTGAATATTGCATAAAATCGTCGAATAAGACTCACGTAGTAAAGCATTGGGATTCTCCAGTTATTAAGTAATGAGAATTCACTCCTTGTATTTGAACTCCACATGTCCACCCCAAAACATATGATCGGGTAGTAAAGTGCAATTGAGGCTAGGGTCGGACGGTGGAACAAAAAATCGAATGCATGGTGAGACAGACGAAATGAAGGCAGAAGAGAATGAAATATTATCTGTGGAATATTACTGTCCCAGTATTTGCCTAAGTGATCCAAGGAAACCACAGAAAAATTTAGACCAAGGCATCGAACCGGCGTCCTCTAGGCCATGCCGCTCGGCACTGCCAAAAAAAATGTTTTTTATGTTTTCGTAGAAAAGGGGAAATCTTCAGAAGACACCCAGTCGTCCGTACGACTGGGGAGTGTTGGATTCCCGAAGAAAAATCCTGGAACCTACCGAATAAAACCCCTCTACCTCCCTACTAAAAAAAATTCCTTTTCGTGGTTTAAATAAAGTCGGTATAAAATAGGCGACGCCTATCGTGAAAAATCACCCCTTCGCCGTCGCTACATTTCGAAATAATGACGTAACTAGGGACTTGGGTTTTTTATATGTTAATGATATTTTGAGACCTACCTGGTCCAATCTCTTACTAAAAATTAAAAAAAAAAAGAAATTTAACTATACCTACACAATACACATAAAACCAGAATTCAAAGTGTTAACTACATAGAAACACAAACAAAATTGAATATCTATAGAAATTACAACTTTTTATTGGATAAAAACGAACATAAATAAAATCGAATATATCTGTATTTGTAAATATTAATTGAAAACGCAACAGCAATGTTTTATATTTGCTGTTCTAATATAAGCAATACGTTTTGCTGAACAACAATTTTTGCAATAGGTACGAAACGCTATCCAAGCTCTTCAAGAGATGACAACACCCTCTTCAGTTGGAAGTATGCAGTTTCCAGCTCGTTCAAATCCTAATATTAACCAATTTCCAATAGCCAGTAAGGAGGAAGGTGGCTTTCTCGCCAGAAGTACGTCCCAACCACCCGAGATGTTCTACTGGGAAGAGGATGGTGTAAAAACCCGACTGTTACCAATAACATCGTTCAAAGACGAAAGCACCCAGACTAATTGTGAAGAATTAATTTCACAATACATCCTACAGAATCCTAGACGCGTCCTGTCCATTTTAGGCTTAGATCCAGACAAAGTTAGTTCCGATTTTTACAAGGCCACAACGATAGGCAAAAGTAGAACGTTCCCTGATAACATATTCGTAAGAGGTTTGTCGAAAGGAAGTAGCGACAACGCAAAATCAACGAATCATGACGAATTTCCTATGATTACATGGGATGAGAAGGAAGACGGTAAAAATAGCAGTAATACTACGAAAAATTGTCCTTTTTTTTGGGATCCAACAAATATAAGAGACTGTAAAGCAACCGGGGAAGTGCTTGAATCTAACGAACTTAGCCATTCTTCATCGTTACAAACAAATAATAATTTCTAGTCGTTCTCCTACATTATCAAATTTTATCCTTTTTTCTCTATCTCAGTTATAATAATACCGTATTGAAACATTCAATCAATCAAATTTCAAAAATTATTCTTGATTAACAGTAATATAAACTCAGTAAATGATTAATTACCTAAAATGTTAACTAATAGTTATTTAAAACGAAATCTTGAAGCACGGCCGTAGCTAGGGGGGCATTGGGGGGGGGAGCAATGCCCTACCTTGAAATCACAATGCCCTACCTTAAAAATACCAAAAGCTAAGATAAATTATTAGGTATCTAAACTTTTCCGAACATACCACAGTTTGTGACATTCATTTCATATTATAATATATAATTCTTTGTTCTGTGTATAGACGGCATTTGAAGCGCCATCACTTGAAGCGATGGGTCTATTTAATTATAATATCTGTGATGCAGAGGGAATTCCCCGTAGCATAGGTTGCAATATGAGCTAATAAGTTTGCAGGAACAATGTGATCTAAATGGTATTTTTGGTCGTATCTATTTACTCGTATCACCCCACCCAAAATTAATTATTACCTCACTCTCTCAGACGTGGATCTCTACACCCAAATCTGGAAGTTCAACCAGATTGTTCGCTTGTTTTTCATCATTGAAGATTTAATAGTTCTTAGATATATGCTCAGGCTCTGTCACAGAAATTATTTGTCTGCGAATAGCTATTGAATGTACATCACTGACCTTGAGGTCAGTGATATACATGGTGATTGATTTAGGAGTCCGTGCTTCGAGGACAGATCAATTATGATCAATTTTTCAATTTCGCCCTACCTGTAACCAATGCTGCCCTATACTTCATTTCCTTTCTCTAGCGATGTGCTCCTTCTAATGTCTTGAATGCGCGCTGGCACAATTGTAGGTAGGGAGATAAAAGCTCATTATATTCTCGACTCTTGTTCATTAAACATACTTTTTCATACAGTACCTGCCAAAAGTTTTGTTCAATCATGAATAGAAGTGCGAGTCGAAAATAAGATTTAAAGCCTTTAATATGTCTTTCAATATAAATAAACACCTCCTTGATGTTTTCAGTCGTAATTGGTACCAATAACAGCACATTTGAGCAATGCAGTTGTAGTGAATAAAATGGTCAATTTTTCCGTGCAGTACTGTACGGATTACACGCTCTTCACTGGTTAAGAGTTTGGCCGAGAGTTGTCTCCTTTCTTTTCTGGCCTAGTGCTATTCTTTTCTACTTTGCGCCGGTCAAACTAAAAGTCACATACCTACAGAAACTAAACGAAATATATCTCAAATTCGACTCTAGCTACAGCCCTGTCTTGAAGCATTCTTAAATTGGGTCGCTTATTTTTCTTTATATGTAACTTTTACACTACACCTAATCGCATTTAAGCAAAGTTTAATATCAGTTTGTAATAAAGTTACTGTAACGTACAGTTACACCAAAATATTATTTTTAATCAAGAGTAAGAATAAAAGAATGTTTTTACTTAAAGTCAATTAGTTCAAGTTGGCGTTTAAAAGGAATAAAACTTGATGTAAATTTCCCGTGTCTTTAGCAGCGCCATTTACTAATTTAGGTGCAAATATGTTTGTATATGACTTCGTGCAATTCAACGTAATGAAATAACATAACTTAAAACAATCTATCTATTTAAAATGCTGATATCTAATAAAAAAAATAAATTTAATTGTGGGTTAAAGGCACCCGACATAGACTGTGAAAAAAAACTTCGTTATATTGCGTTGAATTATCTGTGCTACATATAAGCAATTTTAGTGCTTTATTTATTTGCTGTTCAGTGATTTCTTGGTAGGTACTATCTTGCCTTATTCGTGTTTTATTATCGATTAAACAGGTGGAAGCTAAACCTCGAAGCCAAAGTTTTTAGAATGATAAATAGAATCTATAAAATTTTGTTGGGTTATGCAGCCACCTAACTGGGTTGTATCGACAAACAATGAATAATCCTATTTAACTTCGATTCAAATATGACAAATAACGTTATACAAAGTAAATCATGCGCCCCATTCGCTTAATCTGCAAGGAATAAATTACTAACTTTTAGAATTTGCTACGGCTTGCTATAACTCGTCCTAAACATATTATACCTACCATCCCTAATAAGAAACTAGTTTAATCCATGTCGTATGTTTCCGAAATTACTAAAACTATGATTATAATGAACATTTTTATGCCACTTCTTATAGTAACTGCGGAACTCTTTTTCCTTTTGTACACATCTTTTTGTCAATTGTGAAATGTTTTATTTTCTTTTTCTTAATTTTTGGTAAAATACTTTAACAAAAATTTATCTATTACTAAAGCGCAATACTTTTTGAATACAAGTAAAACATTGAAAAATTTATCACAAAGACAGTTTTGAAAACTTTTTCTGACGATTTATTACCACTCTTTAAGTTTTAATTTTTTTTTTGAGATTTGAAGTTACACAATACTGGTAACATATATAATTTTAAATAATTACAAAAATTCACGAAATGGGAATAAATCTCAAGACTTAACTTTATGAGAGAAGTCTTACGGTTTCGGGTAAGAAACTACTACGTATTTTAAGGATACGTAGTAGTTTCTTCTAGACTATCTAGACGATACCCAGTAGTACCTACTGGTAGTAGTACCTACTGGGTATCGTCAGGAAATACTTTCAGTTGCTGTAGGCTTTTATGGCCGGAGTCAATTTGCACATTGGGGGTTTCGGGGTTTGCTGGTCATGGTCTGAATTGATTGATGATTCTACCAGAAGTTCCGTCATCAACTGTGGATGACATATTTAGTGGTTTGCTGTCAGATGCATTGCGTTGACTGAATAGATTACTCCGATTACGCTTCCAACAAAAAGTCACTAAAGATGTCATCCACAGATGATGAAGAAACGTCTGGTAGAATCATCAACCAATCTAGACCATGACCAGCAAACCCGGAACCTCCGATGTCCTAATACTTTCAGTCTTTGTAAGATGTTTTCAATAGGGCTGGACGATTATTAAACATAATACCTAATCGAATATCGACTCGAAGAAAATAACCGATTATTTGGGTTAATTGAAATAGTCGATTATTTTAAGTAATCGATTTGTATAAATAATAAAATTTAACAGCGATTGATCTGATAAATAATTTGTCAATGATTTTATAGTTTCGGGTAAGAAACTACATATCCTTGAATTATTATTAAAAGTACTCAGTGTAGCTTTTAACTACGATATTTTTTGGAACCCAGCTCATCCTTTCATCTTTTAAGTAACTTTTAATTTTTTTCAATATGGTAACTACATTTTACAACGGACAAATCGTCCATTACAATAGAATGTTCAATGTTACATGTCCCGATAGACTGACCAAAACCAAATTATTGAATGCAGTGTGTAATCAGGTAATCACATATCCTACATGCACAGGCTTAGCATCTCTTATTACGGAAAGTTATACCGACAACAAGTAATATCTTGTTACCCATCAAGACCACACGACCCTATGTTATAAATATAGATCTACTCTGTAAGTTTAAATGATGTATCCGTAATGACATAATAGTAACTGTTAAATGGTCAGTGACAGATACAAACGAATTTAATCATAACCAAATAAAACAATTACAGAACTTATGTTCGTATAAAGTAGTCTCAATAAAAATGACACAGGGCAACATTAATTCTGTTGGCAGGGGTTTGAAAATCATTTAATGAGTCAGTTTGAGATCCTGAAAGTTGAAATACTGTTAGATTTTTCAATTGATAATTTTAACAACAACAATTTAAAATTAACAATTTTCGATTGAATTGATTCTAATTTAAGAGATAGTTAAAACATTAATTGTAAAAAAATGTAAAAGGTAAATGAAATAAGGAAAGAAAATACTTAAAGTTAAAATTCTTTTTGCCTTAACTGGAAAATGACAATTTAAAGGGGTAACACATATTTTTTTTAGTGAAAATGGGTGGTTCAAATTTTTCAACCCATTGTTACCACAAGAATTTTTGCCACATAAATTCTAAAGAACACGGGTTTGATCTCAGGCTTTTTTATATTTTTTTTTGTAAAAATTATTCGGAAAAAAAAACATCTAAAAATAGGAGATGCTATCGTTGTCCATAATATAGCGAGGAGAAATCGTTAAATCTTGGAAAAACTGTTGAGAAAAAATAGAGAACTTGACGGCTATTGATCTAAAAAACGATATTTTTTCTCAATTAAATTATTTTTGTAGCGTTGAAGATAGAAGATTTTGGTAATTGGTTAACAGTGTGTATTTAAACAAAACAAAAAATGTAAAAATATAAACATAGAAACGTAGAAATTAAAATAACGAAGAAATCTGTCCAGACACGCAAGTGAACACGCGGATGTCTATTTCACTACTGACTTAAAACTTTGAAAAACCATTAAAAGTATATTCGCACCCGTCCCTGTTTATTCACCTAGCAAGCCGCCAAAGGATACCGCGTCTATTCACGCATCGGCATCACACACGCGCGCGATCAGAAGGAGCCGCTAAATACAGGGTGGTGACGTTACATTTTGAATTATTATGACGTAAATAAGTTATAGTCCTCGTTGTACTAGGGGCGGGTCCAGAAACAATTCTTGACAGGAAAAAATTAACTTTTTCCTAAATTTAGCTTCTGAATGAGTTCCATATTATGCTACGATTTTCAAAATTCAGTACTTCCAGTTACAAACTTGAGTCACTCAAGTTGAGTGACACTTTTACATGTTTTACTTAGTTCATTTATTTTTGTATTCATTTGTATTCAAGCGCAAATTTCCTAATACAGTTTTTTTCATATAAGATTTTTCATAATACTGAAGTAATTCATAAGTCATAGAGCTCTGAAGAGATAAAATCTTTCCAATTCCCCTTCCCCAATACAGTATACAGCGGCTGTATGTTTCTAAATTATTCTGAATCTTCGTGAGCGCCTTCATGTTTCACGACTATTTTGTCTGCGAAAACTTTTAAAAAAGGGTCATTTTCAATCCCGAAATCGGAAAATTTAATGATTTATATAACGTTCAGTCAACCGTTCGCCTTTTACTTGAGTCGTTAAACAATTCAATACGAAAATTAATCAAAAAGTTGTTTGACTTTCATAATATGCCTGCCTACCACTAATTTATTTGAGAAAAATTATCATGTATCGGTATTTGGAAAATTAGAGTCATTTCAATTGAAATAGCAATTCAGCC